TCTCTTCTGAATATTGCTGTCTTCTACATTGCGTTCTTCTACCACATGTTCTTCCACATCACTTATATTATGGTTTTAGTTATAGTCTGGGTCATTGTCACTTGCCATATATGTGTTTGTAGATGCTGAAATTTTTTTACAATACTTTATTATACCATTTTTAACATAATTTCATAATTACTTTTATTATTGATTAATAAACTTGTACATACATTGAGACAAAGCGTCACAGTCGTTCTCATTGTCAAGACCAGATATTGTTTTAGTATTAACCACTTCTAAAATGATTGTCTCGTCTATATCTTTTGCCTCTGGAGCTGAAGGTCCCCCTCCCGTCTTATATAACTGCCGTCGTGATTCTGCAGCCTTCTTTCTTAGGTCCTGCTTAATATTTGACCACTGCTTCCTCAAGGAAGGTTCCTCTCGGTGAACATTTGTTAGCTAAAAATACATTACAATACAATTATCGAGTTACACTATTATTTCTTATTACAATTAATATATGATGCAAATTTAACATAAAATTTTCTCAAGGCTAACTTCTATTAGAATAACTTCGACTTTTATTTTTAGTGATAATTCCGTTAGGTCAAATGAGTTTACAATAAATGGGAAATATATTAATTAAGTTGTTAGACTTATGACATATCAAATTTGACACTTATTACATATCAAATCATATATTAGAACTTACCTTTTCGTTAAATTGCATTGTGATATGATTCCAAGCTTCATCCTTTTCCCTATTGCTCACAGCATTAGTGGATTTATTTTCTATTATATGTTTGTTTACCTGTAGTAGATGAACAAGTAAATTTTTTTCGTCAGGAGTACAATAAATTCTCTTTTTGTCCATTTTTAAAATTAAATTAAATTGAAAATTTTGTAGATGCTGAAACGAAAATTGCGCGGGACTAAATAAACCTAAAGCGTCACTCAATAATGTACAATTGACAAGATACATGGTTGCCATGTGAATTGCATCTTAAATTTCGTCTTAGTTAAGACGTGCTTAGATAAGAATCGAAAATTATGGTGCAACGTAAGTGAGAAATAGGCACGAGTTAAGGCGGCCCTAGCTATAAGCGGAGCTGGGCTAAGCTGTAGCTTAAGATCTGTTGGTGCAACCAGCATAAAAGATCCCGCCGGTTTACTTGCTTTTTGTTTTACTACTTCTTCAAAGTCTTCGTAACTAGTTATATCTATTCCCGGATATCTAAACCTGACTTCCTGCTTTATTATTTTCCCATCGACTTCGATTTTACATCGTAGTGGGTATTTAGATGTTGTCATACATTTGGTTTTTTTCTGCTGATATTATTATATTCTATTTCTTGGCTGTTGTATTGAAGATGTGTGTTAATCTTTGGAGCTCGCCTTCCGTCTCGGCGATTAATGCGGCGTCGTCTGCATAACATAATATTTGGATTTCTTTCTTCCCCATTCTGTAACCCTTACCTTTACGTACTGCTTGTATTAGTTCGTTTATTATTATATTAATGACAAGTGGGCTTAACGAGTCACCCTGTCTGACTCTGCTTTGTATTGGTAGACACTGTTTTAGTTTTCCATTTATCTTGGCCTGTATTCGATTATGTAAGTAGATGTTTTCAATGGTTTGTATAATATTGATTGATATTCTTCTTTTATACAGTAGGTGAAAGACGACTTTCAAAAAAAAAAGAAATTGATTTCATCATCACAAACAGAAAAAATATTGTCCAAGATGTTACAGTAATTAATAAAATCACTGTTGGGAGTGACCATCGGTTGGTTAGAGCAAAAATAATAATCAACATTGGACGAGAGAGGACAGCAATGATAACAGAGAGGCATTCTAATAAATGGAAATTGATAGAAGATAGAGTAGCTTACCAGAGTCTCTTAAGTTTAGAACTGACAGAAGTAGAACATCTAAATGAAAATGCATTAGATATAGAGGTGACAAACATGCAAATAAATAGTGCGATTCGAAACGCTCATAGAAAATATAAGGAAAAAACAAGATGGATAAACACACTCAAGCTAAGTACTAAAGATCTTATAAACAAAAGAAGAGAATTGAAAGACAAATAATAATAATAATAACACACAGATAATTTTGTAACACTTAGACAGTTAAACAAAGATATCACAAAATCCATTCGAAAAGATGTCAGAAATTACAACACTGAATACATAACTCAAGCCATTGATAAAAATAAAAGTTTAAAGGTTCTGCGCCGACAAATGACTGAAGGATCGAAAAATATTTGTAAACTTGTAAATAAAAAGGAGAAACTACAACAAATAAGAAAGATATTTTAAAAATTGGAGATGAAAAACAATATATCACCTGGAGAAGATGGGATAGTCATTGAACAAATCAAAGAACGAGGAGGAACGTTAGTAAATGTTGAATAAGATGTTCAATGCTTGTTTGACAAGAGCTGTAACCCCCTCCCAGTGGCATAATGTAATAATAACCATAATGAACAAAAAGGAGGCATTTCAGACCTAAAGAACTACAGACCTATTAGTTTACTCTCCCATACATACAAACTATTTATGAAAATAATAAGAAAATGTCTTGTGAACAAACTGGATAGTTACCAACCTTGTGAACAGGCTGGGTTCCGCTCCAGATACAAAACAAATGATTTTCTACAAGTTATAAAAATGCTAATAGAAAAGTATACAGAATATAACAAGCCTATCTTTCTTATATTTGTAGATTATGAAAAGGCATACTATAGATCATCATAACATGCTTCAAGCATTGGCTGACTGCCGCATTGACTACCGATTTATCGCCTTGATTAAAAGTATTTATGAAACTGGTAGAGCTTGTCTCCGCCTTCATAAAGATATCAAGAAGTTTCGAATAGAACGTGGAATTAGACAGGGTGATACTATCTTTCCTAAATTTTTTCCAGCTGTTCTTGAACATATGTTCAAGCAAATGGAATGAGAGAATAATATGGGAACTAATATAAATGGGGAAGATCTGAACCACCTAAGATTTGCCGATGACTTAGTTTTAATATCTGATAGAGTTGATAAAGCTACACAAATGCTGCACCCGCTCTATAGTGTCAAAAACAATTAGTCTTAAAATTAACACCTCAAAGACAAAATTTATAACCAACCTTGTAGTTAGCGATAAAATTCTGATTGAGAGAGATAGCATCAACCAAGTAACAGCTTACAAATATCTAGGGCATGAGATTCACTTAGGCCGAGATAATCAGACAACTGAAATACAAAGGATAGGTCTCACATGGTTCTGCCTTTGGTAGATTGAATAACATTTTCAAGTCTATTATGCCAGTTTGTTTAAAAAGGAAGGTTTTTAACCAGTGCATTTTACTGGTTCCTAAATATGGTGCAGAAACATTGACTTATGACAAAAATAACAATAGATAAAATAAGAGTTACACAACACGCTATGGAAAGATTAATATTAGGTATTACCATCAGAGATAAAGTACCAAACCTAGAAATAAGAAGAAGAACAGGAGTCACAGATGCAGTTGAAAAAATAGCCATGGATAAAGGGCTTGGGCCGGACATGTTGCCAGATTAATGGATGATAGATGGACCAGAAAGATTCTGGAATGGCGACCAAGGCAAGAGGCATATCGAAGCAGAGGACGACCACCGACTAGATGGACGGATGATATCAAGCGCATCAGCACAAAATGAATGCAAGAAGCTCAAGATAGAAATAGGTGGAAAATTTTATGGGAGGCCTATGTTCAGCAGTGGACAAATATAGGCTAATTGATGATGAAGACGTCTTCGACCTGGATGCGATCGAAAGCCTTTGTTAGGTCTATAAAACATAGATATGCCGGTTTATTGTACTCGATGGCCTTTTCTGTGATTTGTCTTAGTACAAATACGGCGTCTACGCATTATCTTCCGGATCTAAATCCTTGTTGTTCATCTGCTAAAGTTGTTTAACAAGCTTCTAAAACATGGAGGAAAAAGTATAACCCTAGAGATGACAAAACTTATACAAAAACTAATATTGCACTGCAAGATACCAGACGCATGGAGAAACAGCATAATAATACCAATGTTCAAGAAAAGAGATAAAGAACAAAGACGAGCCCAACAATTATGGAGGTATAAATCTACTGAACACTGCACTTAAGCTTACCACAAAAGTCCTAAACATCAAAATCAAGGAATATACTCATGTGCAAAATTCAAGAAAATTAAACACAAGAAAAACACAATGCTAGAAGTAAGCACCATAAACATAAAAAGTAACCATTTAAAAAATGGCATTTGAGGCAAAACCATCTGTTAATTATCACATGTACTCAGACATTTTTAATTCCTAATTTAATATTTTGTTTTCTGTTCTGAAGAAGGATCAATGTAGCTTATGCCTAAAGTATAACACATCTGATAAAAAAGGAAATTATTTCCCAAATGTGACTGTGCTTGAATTTAGAAGAAGTATTAGCTCAAAAAGAAAAAGAGACTGATGTTATTCTCAATAATATATTCTTGAAAAAGAATTACTAAGTATGTACACTAAGTTTATTAATATTTTTTTTTAATTTCTCTTTGTTTCAGGTTTTTTTTTGAGTTTGGATGTTAGTTACATCCTTTTGCTACTTTTTATTTTACTAATAACACATTTTAAGTCATTAAAATGTGTTCATGAGTTTATTCTAATGTGTAAAAGATACGACAATTAGGTATAATAAAGTTTTACATGAAAACTGTATTATTTCGAATCAAAACGCCATTTTTAGTTGTTTTCTTTTAATAAATGTTTTTCCTGTTACTCTAACCTAGTTGTAACAAGTAAAATATTGATACAAAAATTGGAATTATACTACTATGAGTCTATATTCTTTGATACTATGTAACTAACATAGAAACTATGTTAGGAAATAATTAATTGTTTTTGCTCTCCTGTAAAATTTCAAGAACTGAGGATTTAAGTATGACAACCATGCATTAATTAGGAATTGAAACAAAATCAATTGAAATTCTCTCACCTGAGTTATCTTCATCTATTTCACTCTTCAATTCTCTAATATCTATGGATGTAAATAACTGACTCTCTACATATTCTTGGTCATCTTGAACAAATTCTTCCTTAATTTCAGGTTTTACTTCCATTGCTAATAAACACAAACTAAGTCAGTCAAGTTCACTAATTTTTATTTCTTGTCTTACCTGATGTATTTCCTGGTTCATTCTTCAAACCTCCAATACATGTTGAAGTGTACAACTGACTCCCTACACATCTTTCCTTATATTCCACAAACTCTTCCTTAGTTTCAACTTTCAATTCCATAGCTAACAAATAAACTGAAATATTGGAAATTATTCAAAAAGTATATTTTTTACTATAATCAATGCTGATAAAAAAGGTCAACACTCATAAATACATAGGCAGAGTCTATATTCCTTGGTTTAGGGCTGTGGCCTGTTTGCGGGGAGCACGGTAGGGTAGTCTGGGCACACTTTAAACTGTTTTATTGATTTATTAACAATAAACTACATACTAAACACAAGTAAGAAAACTGTTAACGAGTTCTTTTCGTTGTTTGTGTTGTTGAGCAGCTGACCAGCTGGTTCTGATCTCCTCTTCTTTTCTCTGTCGACGTTCCCTCACTTCGGTAGCACAGTCAACCCATATGTGGCTGTAGGTTAACTATCAATCTGCCAAAGGGCTCCCCTCCAGTGAGTCACCTGCTGGTTTCGATTAGTTTCGAATGTCTATGTTGACCTGTGTTGCTCATCAGGTTGGCATATGCATGTTCTTCCTGCACCTGTTAGGCAGCTGGAATATATGCTGGTTTGAGTCGGTCCATGGAAATTCGCTGAGGAACATTTTGGACATCCACAGTTAAAAACTTATCACTTCGTTATAATAATATAAACGGGCCGGTATAGGGAGGTGTAAGAGGAGGCTTCACTTTATCGGTCCGCACAAACACATGACTCTTACGCACATTGTCATACATACACACATAGTCTGTAGATCCGAATGGACAAAGGCAGTACGGGCTGAGTGGTTGCTCGTCGGTACAGGACGCAATGCTCCCATGGTCTCACGTAGTCGTTGGACAAAACTATGCTCGTCAGATGTAGCAGCACTAAGGACAAGCAGCTGTCCAGGGAGTCTCACTGGGGTACTATACACTAACTCGGAGGCTGTACATGCAATGTCTTGTTTGAAAGTGTTTGGAAGGCTTAGTATGACCAGAGAGAGCGCTTCAACCCACGATACTGTGTCCGCGGCGATGAGAGCAACCTTGAGCGTTCGGTGGAAACGTTCAATACATCCGTTTGATTGTGGGTGGTAGGCAGTGGTTTTAATATGTTGTACACCTAGCAATCCATTAAGCTGGCGAAACCACTGGCTCTCAAATTGCCTACCTCGGTCCGTTGTTATGGTTGTCTCAAATTGCCAACTATGCGTTGAAGTTGTAAGGAACTGGCAGGATCGTTCAGGGTCTGTTCAAGACCCTCATCTGTAGTCTGAGCTTGGGATAGCCGGTCATAGTTATTGGTAGTGGGTGTTGTGATAGCGTCTACTTCAGGTCGTGAGAGACAATCGGCAACGATATTGGCTGTGCCCTGTATATGTCGAATATCGGTCGAGAATTGCCAATAAATTCTAGTTGACGTATCTGTCGTGGAGACTGCCGCTCATGTCGCTGTTGGAAGACAAACGTTAAAGGCTTGTGATCAGTATAAATGGTAAATGGCATGCCCTTAAGAAAATGGCGGAAGTGATGTATGCCACTGAATATGGCAAGCAACTCTCGATCATAAGTGCTGTAGTTTCGCTCCGTCCTAGAAAGTTTTCGAGAGAAACACTATGGGCTGTAGCTGTTCACCTATAAGCTGTTGCAAAACACCGCCGATGGCAGAATCTGAGGGATCAACTAACATGTTCAATTGGGCATTTAGTGCTGGAAAGACCAATTCAGTCGACGCAGCCAAGAGTTCTTTGACCTTGGTAAAAACTGCTGCGGCTGCTGGTGTTGATGTTAGTTCTTGCTGCTTTTTCTTTTGCTGAGACAAGAATTCCGTTAGTGGCATTAGCTCATTGGCAGTATTAGGTAACCAACGTCTGTAGAAATTGAGCATACCCATAAATCGTCGTAGCTGTCCATAGGTCGTAGGTTGTGGAAACTTGCGAATCGCGCTAACCTTAGCCGGCAATGGACGAACGCTAGTTGGGGATACCGTGGCACCCAAAAAGTTTACTTCACGTTTACGGAATTTATCCTTGTTGATTTGGAGTCCATTTGCTTCCAGAATCCAAAGTACTGATGCCAGGTATTGCTCATGCTCAGTCTCCGAGGCAACCAAAATATCGTCAATGTATACAGACACATATGAGCATTCTCGAAAAAGGTGATCGAGATATCTCTGGAACGTGTGGGCAGCGTTTCGCAAACCGAACGGCATTCGGAGGAACTCGTACAGCCTAAAGAGGGTTATTACAGCCGTTTTTTGGTCATACTTTGGATGGACTGAAATTTGGTAAAAAGCACGTACCAAATCGATGCAAGAGAAAATTTTCTTACCATGTAGCTGGTTAGCAAAATCCTGTATGCGCGGTATCGGGTAGCGATCTGGTTTCGTCATGGCATTTAAACGCCGGAAATTTCCACAGGCACGCCATCGTCCATTCGACTTCTGAAATAAGTGAAGCGGACTGACCCAAGATGACTTGATGGTCGGATAATGCCTGCCCGCATCAGCACGTTGAATTCTCCTCGTACAGCTTGAAGACGGTCTGGTGGAAGTCTTCGTGGTTTAGAGAAAACTGGTGTTCTTCGAGTCTCAATATAGTGCTGGACTCTTTCAGTATCCTCTGGTATAGCAACAGTTGGACGATCATAAGGATGGGCAGTGGATAAGCCTACTTATGGCACCCTAACACGACGAGACACACGTGACATGCTTGACATACTTTGACTTACTAGTCGTTTGTTTCTCATGTCTACACTAAAGGAGCTACGTCAGAAAATCGGCTCCTAGTATAGATGTGGTGACATCTGCGACTATAAATGTCCATGTTACAGGTTGGCCTAGACCAAGGTTTAGTGTGAGCTGTTTCTGACCATATGTTTGGATGCACGATCCGGTGGCAGAATACAGGCATACAGTGCTGACCTGAGTCGCAGTGCAGATTTTACGTGGAATCACACTTAGGTCTGCCCCTGTATCAATAAGAAACTGAAGTTGGAGAGCACTATCGGTAATGAAGAGGCGGAGTGGTATGCGAGGGGCTGCGGTTGCCGCCATTACTGCGCCCTTTGATCGTTTTTTGTAAAATTGCAGGGTGGTCTAAATTTCTTTTCGTGTGCACTAAATCTTCGATGGTAATAACACTGTTCGTCAGATGATGACTTGGTACTCTTGACCATTTGAATTTGTTGCCCTTCTTCAGCTTCAGTTAATCTGTTGGATAAAGCATTCACTTGGTCACTCAATGCAGCCACTGTTTTGTCTAAGGTAGAGCTTTTCGGTAACAACCATTGCTTTCTTAGCAAGTTCTTCTAAGTCTCCATCAAGAATAGATATACTTCATCTAATTTACATACCGATGCACGTCATCGGCGTCATAGCCCCTGACGTCACATGATACCAACACGAAATATTTAGGCGGTAGGTGTGTTCTTTTAGAATCGCTTTGCCGAGTACACTGGCATTACAGCCACTAGACATATTTTATTATATACGCGTAGAAATAATATTTAAAGATTTCTATTAATATTAACTTAAAGAAATACACAATAATATGTTTAATTTAATTTGTATAAATGCATTATAAAGCGTTTTTATGAAGAACATTTATTCGGAACACATTATTTTGAATTTTAAAGTGAAAACCTCTTGTTTATATTTTTGCCTATTTAATAATATCTGTGCTTTTTAGAACAAAATTAGTGTGTTTTATTTAAAAAATGTCATGTGAGAATTTAAACAGTCGTTGTAAAGATATGGTAATACTTTTGCAATAATTATGTGACCTATTTGATTTAAAATGAAGTCAGGATTTTTTTATACTTTGGCAACTATGTCAACTTCTATCTCTGTCAATGATAATGACGTGCATCGGTAAGTAAATTAGATGAAGTATGTAACGCTTCGAACTGAAGGTGGTAGGCGGTCCAACATACGTCATTGGGTCCAACCAAAAATTTTTGAGAATTTGCGAACTAATCATGATACTTGTTTGTTTTAGTATCATGCGTACTAATGCTATCCATGGCCAAAGCTTGCATTCGATGGAATAGTTGAGTGGGTTTTAAGTCACTCAGATTGAGTTCCATCAACTTCTGGATGTGCTCTAAGCCCATGGAGTAAGCCTAAACTAATCATTGTCCAAGCATATTGATATTACATATTAATGTCGATTAAAATATTAGATATATTATAATTACTTTTATTATTACTTTAATCAACGATATTACCAAAAGTTTTTAGAGGAATGTAATATTTATATGAGTCTATATTTTTTGATGGCAAAAGCACAGAATAATAAAAAATCAGAATGCCCACTCTGCTTGAAAAAATAAGTACGCGCATCTCGTTCGCGCAGACGGAATAAGCCATGTTTTAAACGAAACCAGCGCTGTTCAGTAGCATTTTATCTGGTGTGTATTAACTTTTAGTTGAAGAATAGATTAAATTATTTCAAATGTTCTATATTATTAATCTCTAAAAATTTAAATTACACTTCTGTCATAGCTTGTCACAAATTTCTTAAATTCGAGTGCATGTTTCCGTCTAAAACATGGCCTTCATGTGCTGACAAACTTTAAAGGCGGAATCTGAGAGTGGGCATTCTGATTGTTAATTATTCTGTGGCAAAAGTATATAGAAAGTTCCAGTTAAGAGTTAAGTTAGCTACAATGCAAATGAAACGTCAAATTTGTTTTTGCGCTATTGCCATGTTAGAGAGTTATCAAGTGAGAATACGGTAAATTGAAAATTGAATAACGTAAATGATTTTCATGTTTACGGGCTCCGTTATCATACGTCGGATAGCGGGTTTGATATACGGTAACGGTAGCAGCGAATCTCACCAATTCGTCAAGACTCAGGCACATAATAATAAACAATCAGAATGCACACTCTGCTTGAAAAAAATAGGTACGCGCATCTCGATTTAGTCGGAACCAGTGCTGTTCAGTGACATTTTATCTGGTGTACATAAAAAAAATTAACCCGGTTTAATTCATTTACGGCAACTATAGACACCATATGCACTATTTTATTTCTGCTTTGAGTTGCATAATAGTGTAGCGTTTTTAAATAAATCGAGCGGTTCGAATTTATATAAATTTATTTATTTATAAGTT